TCTCCTCCTCCTCCTTCTCCTCCTTCTCCTCCTCCTCCATCTCCTCCTCCTCCATCTCCTCCTCCTCCTTCTCCTCCTCCTCCTTCTCCTTCTCCTCCTCCTTCTCCTTCTTCTCCTCCTCCTTCTCCTTCTCTTCTCCCCTCTTTCCTTTTTCCTTTCCGCTTCCCTTTTTCCCCTCAACTTTTCTTGAAAGTATAGGGCGTGTGTGACGAAGCTCAGCATCTGATTTTATTTCTCTCCTTTTATCCCCAAATCTTTCACACAACTGAGTCATTACATCATCGCAAAATCATACATACATAACAGTGCCTTGTAATCAGCTCCACACTGTCTTGAACTTTTTTGCACACTTGGAACACTTTCTTATGAGAATCTGTAATTCCGAGATTACCTCAATGGTTGTTGAGGATATCAAGAAAGTTCACCGTATACTAGAATATATATCAAATTACATTAAAATAATATATAATATCGAAAAGTATATTACCGGAAGTAATGCCGATTCTTTTTATTACAGTTTGATTTTGGTCTTTTATCAAGATTTCTGACTAGAATCCATGATTAAAGGACGCTAACTAATTTTAGCACTTCATTTTGTGATTTCAGGAAAATTTCATATTCACTTGTCTCATTCATGGCTCTCTATTTTTTTTTTAAACTATATCAAACTTCCAATAAACTATAAAATCACAACACTAGGATACTGCACAGATGGGGTATTTAACGCTTCATCGATGGAAATATTATAAGATGTATCTTCTTTACCTTCATCTTCCCCCTTTTTAACGGTCACTGATTAGGTGTGTATAGTGAACATTTTCATGCTTTATCCTGAATTACCTAAAAGAAACGTCACCGATTGGATATTATATATCTCACTATTACAGTAATTACAGTTGTCTGCTTTTATGCATAAGTTATCACGCTTGTGTAATGTTTAATTTGTGTAAAAATTACCATTGCAAAATGTTGTTTGTTTTACCGAACTTATTTATTTCATTCATATTGCTGAGTGAACTGTAAATGGAAGTAATGTGTGATAGATATAGAAATCATTTTTGCCATGGTACAGAGATTTATGAAATTTGCAGAGATGGATAAAATCAACTCTAGGTGTGAAATGAATGGAGGATGTTTGTCACCAGCATCCAGAATACGTATTGCAGCAGATGTTCACCGTCACAGCACGAGTGATGATGATAGTGGATGCGTGCTGGAAGAATACTCCTGGGTGCCAAGTGGCATCAAACCTGATATGGTCTTTTATTTCTTCTTTCTTATTCATTTATTTTGACTATATGAAACTTCTCGAGATACATATTTGCATTGATTCAAATATCTTGATTTCATAATTTAATGACATGAAAGTAATTTTCATTGTTGCAAATTCATTTATCATTAATTGCCGTGAGCGATTAATGACACTGCGACCATTTAACTTCTTTTTATCCCTCTCGGTGTTTCTTTTTTTACATCAAAAATTGGATAATGAGGATAGTTGGTTCATAAAATTTAATGTTTGATGGCTTTTAGAGTTTAAGTGTTGACTCCACTATTCCGGAAGACGGCAGTGTTAATTCATGAAATTCTTTGTGTCTTCATAGATAAGATGAGTTACAAATTCAGGTTCATATGTATTTCGCTTGTCTACCGGAAGACAAAATACCTTATGTAAATTCGACTGGTGAAGAATGGCGAGCACGTCAGTTGCATTATCAATTACCACCACAAGATTCTGATGTAGGATATTGCGGTAAGTTGAGTAGCAAAGAAATACGTGAATTAGTACAATTTGAAATGGGTCGAAAACGCGAGTGCCTTGGACGCGGTATAATCGGGCAGCTCCCGTACGACAACAAACGACGGCACTGCCATCAGGTTTTACAGTTTTCCTCCAATTGCAAACATTGAACTTAAATAATGTCTGTGAAGTCTTCTAAATGGATTCATACATTTTACTTTAATCTTACCACTGTCCATCATCTTAAGTAAATTTGATAGTTTTTTGATCGCAAATTGCTCAAAATTGCTCCGCGTTACTCAACTCGAGCTGTCAAATTAATTAAATTGCAGTGTAAGGGATCATTATATGAAGGGAATTTGGTGATTAGTGCGGAAAGATTCGGACATGATGTACACTGGCATCCGCAGTGCTTTGTTTGCACGGAGTGCTCAAATCTCCTCGTTGATTTGATTTATTTTAAACATGGAGCCGACGTATATTGCGGCAGACATCACGCAGAACAAATCAAGCCTAGGTGTGCCAAATGTGATGAGGCAAGTTCAATTCTACACCATCATTTTGCAGTATTGTTTTTCTTTTGTTTTCTATTAACAATTTGTATCTTAGATACACCTTAGTTGCCATTACTCCACCTCCACTCTAAATAGCACTTGCACATTCATCGGGTTTATCATATGTTACCACTCCTAGACATATTATCTTCAGGAGATATTTGCATAGCAGTTTAAGATAATATCGTGTTGCTCGCAGAGTGAGAGAATTTTGACTTTGAGCCAGATGTTTTAAGGTCGATATCAGCTTGCAAACATCCCCAACCACTCATTACATGTTCAATGCTTTATTGATTCTCCAGTCCTTTCTAACTTTCTATTCTCTAATGTATTCCACATTTCAAAAACCGTTGTTCCAGCCCATATTATGAATTTAGATGACAAGAAATTTAAGATCGCCGACCTTTTTATCAGAATGTGAACTAAATAATTATGAAATAAAGAATCTAGAATGTAGTCGTTTTCAATATTATTCGCGCATAAGCACTTATCGTCAGCTACCATTTTCGAATAAAAAGAAAACTTTCGAAGATGACTATAACTAGGTTTTGAATTATGAAGTAAACCTTATCCTTGTAAATTAAACATCAGTGTATTAACAAATAACAGTCGGCATCATTTGAGAAGAAAGCGGTAGTAAATAAGAAAAAATTATGAGTTGGAGAATCGGGAAAAATCGGATTGGATTTCCTCTGTTCAATTTAGGGTGTACTGTCTTCTGGTGCTGCTCTTCACAGGAGAAAGTTGTAAAGACTGATTGAAAAGCAGTTTTCTAATGTTATCTTTTACTTGGGACAATTTTGAATATTAATGTCGTCAGAGTAAATCAAAATTCATAAAAAAGTACTGTAATCGGAGATGAAACCTTGATAACTGTTTCGAAATATATGGAAACTCAGAGATAGAAGAATACAATTTGTAATTCGAGTCAGTCGTCGATTAATCTATAAATGATAACAACTCTCCGTGACAGCTTATCCCATTGTTGATTCACTGTGACTTTGTCAGGCCAATATGCTTTATTCATAAACAACAACGACAACGGATATCAATGTGCAATGATGGGTTGCAGCTTAGCGCATCACTAACGCAGTAGATCTGTATGCATGCATCTCATTTATGTAATTTATAACATATACACCCACACATACACACTCACACCCGCACCTCCACCCACATCCACACACCACACCCACGATCACCCACACACATACATATACACGCACGCACAACATATACAAATGCACGCACACACATCACTCTATGTGCCAGCACCATTAAAACTGCAAATGTCCGGCACTGACATTATTAACAACTGCATAGCTGCGTCACCATAAAAAATCACTTAAAGTGTCACCTAAAGTACCACCGTAAAAAATATAAGCATCACATATCACACACTGCTACGCTATGATGATTGAATGAGTTCCGATGTATCTTAATCTGTCTTTTCATAATTTTGTTTCCCGGCAAGATAATGTCAGAAGTGATGGTGGTTGGAGGAGTGGAAATAAACAGGAACCGTTTTGCAATTCGTTCAAGAATTTCATTTTAAATGCTCGCTTATACTATTGGTCTTTGCATACAAGACGAACACTGTTAAATTCCTAGGTGATATTTATAAAACTTCATGTCACTTCTGTCCACCTGCGTTTTAGTAGAGCATTGCTTCCTTAACCGGCCCAAGCAAATTTTACCCAAGCAAATTAACCAGCCTAGGTTAATTCGCTTGGGTAAAAAGAAAATAGTTGGGTCGATGATTCTTGTAGAAAACTTACCTCAGAAGCTAGGAATATGAATCTTTTTTACACTTCACATCTTTCTTCCACGTCTTAAACTTTCTCAGTATCTCAGTGTTTCTGGATGAGTAAAAATAAGGTTTGTGACTACTGTAAAGGCCATAATTTTTTCTGTTGTAAGTTTGAAATTTGCAAAATTTCAGCTAATATTCAGTGAAGAATGTACGGAAGCGGAAGGAAGGACATGGCATATGGCACATTTTTCATGCGCAGATTGTGGTGTTCAACTCGGAGGGCAGAGGTATTTTACATTTTGCTCAACACTGTCAGATAATATCATTTGTTTTTTTCCAGGCTGCCGGCATTTCTTGGTCATTTGCAGGTATATTGGAAGAAATGATAGAATAATATGCATCTCTTGTTATAATCAAAATTCCTCACTCATTTGTAATACCTGTGAAAAAGAAATTGTTGTCGATAAGCCGCATATAATTCAGGTGTGTTACTATTACGAATACTCCAATTACTTTACCTTCTTCGTCATCAGTCGTGTCAGTCACCGTTTGATGACGAATTATATCGTTTGAGATGTTAGGTCTCATTTCAGATACCGGCATGCTGTTATGTATGTTCCAGAGCACTGCAAAATCTATTTTAATACTGTAATCACATTGATCGGTAGAGTAATGAGGAGAAAAGCTACCTGTATGAGTCAAGGAAATCATGCTTGACTTTGTGTATTAAGCAACAGTTCACACAAGAGGTTTTACTTTCCACTTCTAAGCCTGAGCTTTAGCCATGATTCCATATATATCTCTCTTCATATATCTGTCACTATCTGTGAGTCAATCAGAAGTACAAAAACGTCAAAAAAATTTATGAAAATGCAATTTCAGAATGATATACACTGGCATGCTGACGAACGTTGTTTCTGTTGTAGTGGATGTGGCAAAAATTTGTTGGGAAAGAAATACTCATTTAGGGACAAAAAGTTATACTGTGCTACGAATGCAAATTGTGGAAAACGATACTCGAAGGTAATTAATCTTTTATGTGTTATCTTTATTCATTTTTAATGATAGTAATGTTAGCTTCATTTGCATGGCAAATTACTACCTTTCATTTGTTACAATCTATTAATTAGCCTGTTTTTCAATAGTTTATGAATGAATTGTTTGTTTATTTACTTTTTTCTCACCATTCGTGCTCTATAAATCCATAATTGTAACCGTGTGATGCTATCACGTAAGAGACAATATGCTAATGTTTCAGGTGACCTTTACCAGTAAAGTGACATCCATTTCAAATAGACGGCGTGGATCGGTGCCGGAGCCACCTTGTCGAGATCCTCCTTCACCACCAGCTGAAAACATTTATGAAACTGTTTTGCCATGCTCTTCAAGAGAATCAGATAGCGCAAACGGAAATGAGTATTTGCGAGGGTAACACTGTTTTTTCAGCAACATATCTCATTTACTATTATACCGCATTGGACTTATGATCCACCGATGTTTGAGTAACGACTTTTAATGATATTATAAATATCGCAGGTGTAATCGCCGATCACAAAGCGCTGATGTTCGACGACCGTGGTGTAATGAACACTGCCATAAAGAATATTGCAAGAAAAAGAATGATTACGACGATAAAAAACAGAATCATTATTCGCGGATGCCACCACCCTCACCATTATTAAGAAGAAAGCATCAGCGATGCAGGTAATATTGAAAGTCCATTGATGTATTTTATCCGATACATCTATAGAGTGCCAAAATGAAAAACAGAGCGAGAAGAAAATTTTTCCATTGTTTTGAAATATACACTATAACATCTTGAAATATTAAATAAGACTTCAGTGTTTTACATCAAACCATAATCTGCGATATTAATGAATCCATAAGCTTAGCTTTTGATAATATTTTTCTCTGCAAAGTTCCGTTTCAGTAGGTTTTTGCATGTTGCATTAGACAAAACTTATAAATGTGGAAGTGGACATGCTTATACAGTCTGGTTATATAATAATTTAAATTTTCAGTTCATGTAGTTCATCCGAAAGCGATAGTGATGATGTATATCTTTTAAATTATTTAGCTGCTTCTCTTTCTCAGTTCAACAAAACAGCTGTAAGTTTATTTTTTTAATTGTAAGCTAACATTTAGCTATATTTCTGTCATGTGTGTTTTGAAGATATATTTTCTGTTTTTTCCATCATCTAACATAAAAATTTCTGCTCTTAAGCCGGAAAAATTAATTAAGTGAATTTCAGTCACAATTTGGCTTAAACGACTCTTTTCTTTATCTTTTTATTATTGAAACTAAAACAGGTCTTATTACAGAATACAGTTCAAAACAGCGGGAGTTGTAAGCCAATAGTAAACAGAGTACAAGCTGCAAAGAATAAATCATCAAATAATTGCATAGTGTCCTGAAATGTGATGTTAATTTCATTAAGACCCATGATATTTAAAATCTTTTGTACACCGTAAATGATATGTAGCAAATTCTCTTGTGTAATGCTGTGCCTTTGCAAGTTGATGTTTTTTTATGTGATTATCTATTGTTACTAGGAAGCTATAGTCCTCAATATCAAAATATAAATTAATAATGAACTGTTAGTTACAAGTAAATATTCGGTGTCTGCTTACGAAATTATTAAAATGTTGATTTCGCTTGTAAATTCATGCGCTATACAATATCAGGTTGGAATTAAAGTTTTACTCAGTGATGTATGTAACTCAATGAATTTGGTTTTATGTCAATTTTCGCCTAAGAAGTGCGTGAAAATTGGTTATCAGCGAGTTTGCATGCAAGATTATCGAGCTGTCGTGTGTATTATTCCCAGCAGAAATGAAAGAATGATCTAGAAAATTCTGAAAAGTAAGCGAGATCAAAGGATTTAATGATGTGAAGAGTAATACTTCAATGTACAATTAGCGGGAGAGTTCCTGATGTGAATAGGTCAAAATTTTATCGGTTATTGATACCACGAGGAAGTGTGGTGTCTCGTTTCTGATCCAGCGTGTGAATCTGAAACGGAACAATCTTTCCTTTCATTTTTGTCGACTGAAGCATATATTTCGAAGGACAAAAAGAGGTAATTGGAATTGGGAAATGTATGGTAGATTCCATGCAATATTGATTGAACAGTGTATCCTGTTCATCGTACGGTTTAATTTGCTTTAGACCAGTTCAGCGGTAGGTATAACGAAATTTCCGTTGTTTTCTGTAATTTATTGAATTAAAAACTCGCCATTGCAGTTTCTAATGACTTCAAAACTAACAGACTCCTTCAGAAGTTTGCGCTTCATTCCAGTACCATTTGGCGAGTACCGGGGGAGTAATCCCGATACGCCTCCTATTATGGTTTGTAATTTAATGGTTTTCCTCAGTTTACCAAAACTTACGAAGTACGTCTTTTCCAAAAAGTACAGGAACAACGCTTCATCTTTTATAACAAATTTTCAGGTTAATTTTCGTCAACCGGATTTATGGCGAACTCTACCAATAGAATTTACGAATGATAAAGAGCGCTTATTTATTGACCGTGAAATCATATGCAAACATTCTAAAGTCTGTGCCGATAAACTTGAAAATCTTGTGCGTATAACATGCTCTTCACTTCATTTGTCACATAACATATCATTTATAGAGCAATGAAGCTTTAAACGTTACCACCAGTTAATTTAGTAAGTTTTGAAAAACCTTGATGGAACAAAATTTCTGATAATTCGAAATATTGATACAGTGGTGTCAATTATTAGATATGTTTCATTTCAGGAAAAGGCGGGACAGGAGCTTGTCATTCGACTGGACGACATAACCTGTGATGCTATGGAGCGAGTGCTTTTTACTATCTGTCCTACAATATATGGGCAGTATCCAGTTCCTCCAACAAGTACTAGTCTTTAATTTCACGTTGTTCCATTCCCCATTAATGAAATAAATATGTTAGTCTATTATTCCAGTTTTCGACGTTGGTATTATCTGTCCAGTTGCTTGCTCTCTGAAAATGGATATGGTTATCAAAATGTGCGAGAAGGTAAAATTTTTCATAGATTTTAGATAAAAAGTTTCAGCTTAAAGATAAATACGCCATTTCTAATGTTATTGGAACAGAACGTTGTCGTAAATGTATCTTTCATAGATAGGTTCTGGAAAACGATGTACATCCGAAACTTACACCAGCTGACTTTCTTATCAATTCCTTTAGTACAGCTTACAAATGTCAGCTGAAACCAATATTGCAAGCGAAATTATTCATAAAAATTCTGAAATGTGAGTATTGGAAATTAAAATACTCACTGATTCGCAAGATCGAATCACCCTGTTTGCGCATTTTTTTGTGGTAAGTCCTTTCCTATGGAATGAAAATTTGTCCATTAAAATGATTTCGCTAAAAGTTCCTGGTTAACCCATGATTTTAGTATTAAAAATACAAGAATAACGGATCCTTCGAAGCTCTTGATCTCCTCACTATAGTTACTATGATTTTTGGAATGTAATGAGAAATGATTCCAGTTTGTCCTTTACAGCAAAGCTATTTATTCAAGTGATGTTTTAGGAACTTCAGAGAAATGAGTCGCAATACAATACGTTCGAAAAAAGCGCTCAAAGGACAGTGTTATGTAAGAAGTAAGAAATCCTGGATAGACGAAGGTTTAGATCCACCAACGAAAGAATTGCTCCGACTCTGCATCTACAACGAATTAATTTTTTCACATGTCACAATAACTGTACAAACAAAAATTTACAAATCTACTTGTAATCAATGTGAAGAGAATGCTGCGTATATTACGCATGTGAATGGCTATCGTATAAAAACCGTCCCAAAAAAACTCTTTCTATGCCAGCAGTGCAATAAAGCACTGTGTTCGAATTGTGAGGCAACATTTTGTATTGTTAAATTGGTTGAATTTCTGGAAGATGTTTATAAGGCTGAAAAATCTCCAGATGTATTGAAGATGCTTAATGCTCTTGTTGTACTGAATTCTTCCGATCACGATGTTGCTAGGACGTTAGTAAATATTCATTAATGACGTCTTTTGTCTAGTTTCTAGATAGTGCTATCCCTTGTCGCGAAATTTCAAGAATATTATAACTGGTCAAGTG